GCTCCGGCTCCGTCGCAGTCCCGAAGGCGAGCGGGTCTCCGGGCTCTCTGCCGTGGGCCGGCGGAATCTCCCCAGCTGATGGCCCTGCAGGCCCAGAGCCCAGCACCTTGTGGATGCCGCCGGGCCTCATGGGAGCCACAGCTGAAGGAGCTCTGAGAGCCCGTGGAGAAAAGATCTCCCGCCCCCTTTCGGAGAGGGTGGTTGTAAATAATCAGCAGGAAAAGGGAGCATAAATAATTAAAGCTGCCCGGAGTGAGTGGCTCTTGAACCGTCTGCCTGATTTCAAAACTAATTACTTGGAGAGTCCTGGCTGCCAGGGAGCTGCGCGCCTCGCGCCTCCGCCGCCTCCTCCTCCACCACCTCCACCACTACCTCCTCCTCCTCCTCCGCCCTCTTCCCTCGCTTTCTGGGGCACAGGCTCATTAGCCAGTCCTGGCACGTACGGAGCTGCCCCGGCCTCTTCCGTCGCCCTGATTAAGAGTCCGGGCCCAGAAGTCCCGTGAGGGCGCCTCTGCCCCTGCCCCCCACTGGCCCCCTGCCGGGGAGTCCCTAGGAATGCCCTTGGCAGGAAGGAGGTTGGCAGGGGCTGAGGGGGGCAGAGGTACGGGAGTTAGTCTGTTTCTGCTGTAGAGCGAAGGATCAGATGTAAAGCCTCGTGCATCCCGGGCAAGCATATCACAGAGCTACCCCAGCTTCTCATTTGGTTATTTTTATAGTTTCCATTTACCTTTTGAAAATTCCTAATTTCACACATGCTGTCTGTCTTTTCCTACCTTTCCCTTCTCTCTCTCTCTCTCTCTCTCTCTCTCTCTCTCTCTCTCTCTCTCTCTTAGTGGTTTTGAGACAGGGACTTGCTATGTAGTTCAGGCTGGCCTTGAACTCACAGCAATCCTCCTGCCTCAGCCTCCCCAATGCTGGGATTACAGGCATGCACAATCATACCCAGCTAGATCTCTCAAGGTTTTAATTTGACTCTATGTAAAGACCTTGTCTGAAAATTCCATCTGTGGGTCTACTTCTGTGGGCAGTTGTTCTCCTGATTACAGGCCACATTTTCTGGCTTCTCTGAATGATCTGCAACATCCACTCCCACTCCCAGCCTGGGGTTATCCAGAGTACCCGGTCACTGAGCTCCATCTCCAGCCCTTTTTATTTTTTATTCTGAGACAGAGTCTCACTAAGTTGGTCAGACTGGCCTTGAATTTGTTATCTTCCTGCCTCAGCCTCCCAAATAGCTAGGATTATAGGTGAGCACTCCCACACCTGACTTGCAGTTTTAAAACATTTGAAATTTAAAAATTTAAAAATACTGTGTAAAATAAATAAATACATTTGCTGGAAAATGAACTCACCTCTTCTTCCATGGGTGCATAGTGCAAGGGGCTGAATAGTTGGGTCTGGGCTTCTAAGCGGCCTTAGCAGAGTTCACTTCACACACTTTGCATGTTGCGGAGATAGGATTAAGTCTTTCCCTGAAGGGAGTGCGTGGGAGAGAACAGGACGGCGTGAAAAGCTTAGGAGCATTTCCAGGAAGGTGGCTGGAACACAGCTGCGTGGGGCTGGTGTACCAGGGGCACAGACCAGGTGAGCACAGAAGGGAGGGCTCAAACAGGCTGGCATCACGGCAGAGATGGGGCACCCACTGCGGGGAGCACGGCGTTCCCATGGAAGGGTGAAAATGAAAAGGGGATCCCATCCCGATGAAGGGCACTCTCTGCCTCAACCAAATGACCTTGGAAGAAAACAGTCAGAGACAGAGGGTGGTGCACACCCGTAACCCCAGCCCTGAAGGAGGCCGAGGCAGGAGGATCCCAAATTCTAGCCCAGCTTGAGTAATGTGGCGAGACCCTGTCTCAAATTAAAAAATGCAAAAGGACTGGGGATGTAGCTCAGTGTGAAGGCCCTGGGTTCAGTCCCTGGTGCTGGGGGAAAAAAATATCCCAGGGCTCTGATTGGCCATAGGCCGCTGCTGCTTTCACAAATCCCCAAGATGCCGGCATCCGTCCTACTCCCAA